AGTCGAGCGGCAAGAAGTCGCTACCAATTAACTACTAGGTTGTATGGTAGTTCTACGGTGCAGGTCATACGCTGGAGATCCGCAGAGGGAGGTCGTATTTTATCGCTACGAAAGCCCCACACCTAAAAAGCTATCACCCCAGAAAAAGCCCCGCGATTTCCACCCGGCCAACAGATCTGCTCCACCGCTAATTTGCCATGGAATCATAACGCGGCCGCAAGCGCTTGCGAGTCGTTACGTATCTAATCCTTCTCGTCAGAGCAAACAATTAGAGCCGAAAGGGGGGGGGGGGGGGGGGGGTCGTACCTGGATTCCTTTTTCGGGAGAGTGTCGTACTGGCACCGCCATTTCACACATCACGATGCTGCACCCTATTCGCAGAGCACAAACACATCTCCTGCACTGACCAGCAAACGGCGTCCAGCGGGGATGTCTTACTAGAGGGAGTATAAAACAGATGTACAGTGAACGCTCTTTATTCGCTCACTATAATCATAACACCGCATTAGTCAAACGCTGCCTTCTAAACGGGTGCCCTCTTACTTTCAGACGCGTACCCCCTTACTGTAACACCACTATGCCTATTTCAGAGCTCGCCTATGATCCCCAAACTATGATATACAGAAAGACCAAGGCCAAAAGCTGCAGCACTAACCTCATGTTCGAAGAATTTGTCCTCAAGCGTTTTCTCCACCAGAAGAATTTACCGGTGCCCTTCAAACAAGGGCTTATAGTCAGCATAGAATTCGCACACTTGTTTCACCTGCTCGTAGTCATCCGCTCGAGCAAGACCGGCAAGGCCTGGAATATACTATCAGAAGGAAGAAGTCATAACAGGCAGACTGTGTGGTGGGAACAAAGGGAGGGTAAAACATAGGCCTAGAAAGTGCTGTGGGGAGCTCTGAAGCATCCAGGTTTCTGAAGGTTTTTTCAAGACTTCGGTCTCGGGAAATTCTTTTCAATATATGGCGCAGTAGAAGCTTGTGAGTCCATACAGGCCACCTTGTGAGGCCTTTGAATTCATGTGACCAAATGGACTCACTCGCACCATTTCACAGCTTAAGATAAAAGTACAGGTCTCACTTCAGTGACAGTCTTGTGGCAAAATGAACTTCAAAGTTTATGATGCTCTGGCTCCCCCCCCCCTCCTTCAAGCCGAACAGCACCCGATATTTCAGTTCTGATGAGGCACCGGAACAGCACAATGAGAAAAAAAAAACATATAGAAGATGAACTCACCTTCTGGGTACAATTTACCGCATCTAGGGTAAAGTTTCTCACGATCATCTTTGCTCAGTTCTGTATCAAAAGAGTTGATTGTGATAATGATAGATCTGCGATCAGCTTCAAACTGAAAATATCAAATCCTGAGGAAAATGAGATTCATGATACGGATTAAGGGGTTAATAACCTTGAAGAGGCATTTTGCGAACTCTCTGAGAAAAACTAGAGTTTAAAGAATGAAGATGAGAACTTTGTCTGGGCCATGGAGAAGGAGCTTCTGATTTGGTGGAACCAACGCCAATTCTGGTAATTCTATTGAGATAACCCCAATTATGATGAGTCCTTTCAGTGCTCCTTTCAACATTACTAGCGTACAGAATAACCACTACTGAAGTGCAGACACATAAATGATGAATATAAGGGGAAGAAAACTTACAGCGAGAATCTCACACATGACTTCAGCAGTAGTGCCTCCCAGTTTCTTGCAGAATCTGTAGAAATCTTCAATGTAGGCTTTGTACAGCGTGTTTCTAATCAGCTCCACATTCATCTCATCAAGATCTTGCTCATTAATGCAGTCAACAAAGTAGTTAGCTGAATGTTCCAAATAAAAATACTTCAATGGGTTTTATTGAGTACATTAGTAATATTGAACGAGAACTAAATGTCTACAACGTAGTTGCAGATGTCAAATTATTAACACTCTGTTTTGTTTAAGCGGCGCCCATGTATTGGAGCACCTTCGCTTATTTTACTTTTGCCTGTTTTTTTTTGGTTGTTCGTATTCGTACTAATGATTTGTTTTTCCGGCAATCAAATTATCGGAGAAGTCTCTGCTTCCACGCTAATTTCCTCCTAGTTTGTGCAGAACAAGGTCTACATAACACGAGTTGGACTCTCCCTATCTAGACCTAGATTTAGCTTAGATTGTGAGTACTTGCTACTGAAAACTAGCACGGCGCCTTTTGGTGATGGAAGGTGGGAGGGGGTATTTCGCACATTCACTGCTTAAGAGTTGACGGGTGACCTTTACAAACTTAAGTTGCTATCATTTCATGGCTTCACAAGACTACAAAGGCCTCCATCTGATGGGTCGACATGGTCGATGGAAAGTGGCAAAAATGCGAAATCCTCCCTCCCCCCACGCCGAACTGCACTACCTAGCACTTGTCCCTAGCAGAGCTTTTGGGTCAGTCCAATTACGACGTAAGAAGACTGTGAACCCGTAAATAGATGGTGAGCTTCCGAAAAAAAGCAAATAGTAAGAGTTCCGCAGGCCATTAGTAACCCTTCAAGTGCGAAAACAAAACGAAAGACAGAAAAATCCCTATGAAATGTTATCCGCCCTACTGGTGAGAATTACATATTTCAGTAAAAGATGTATGCAGCAGCGTATTAAGTAAGAAACGAAATAAAACATATACAAAAGTTCTCAAATAGGGATAAAATTGATTTCCTTCACATAACCAAGAGGAGTGTCGAACGAGTACCCCGCGTTGTACATTTCCAGGCAGGGGTTTCCCCGAAAAAGCGATATGTATTGCTTCCATCTGCTCGAAAGAACCTTAAAATAATTATTTCATATGGACATTGGTTTGGGCGTAATAGAGACATGGGCTATGAAGTTTTACTAACCCGACCACTTTAGAAATTACTTGCAAGTTGATCGGTAAATAAAGGCAGACATACAGTCTTCAGTCGACAATATCAAGTTAGTCAACGCAAACACATATAATGCATTCGTTGGCGGACGGTGGGCGGTGTCAGGCAGGATGCAAGTTTAGCGTGCGGTGGCCCGAAACCTGTTCTCCACAGTTTGTTGAAGCGAGCAATGAAATGACTGTATATGCCTCGTTCGTATTACTCTTTTCTTACTCAATTTTGGTCGCAACTACTCGCGCTTTCAACAAGAAGCATATGAGTATGCACATGGTCCGCCTCCTGAAAACGGCTTCGACGGTGTGCACACTCATACTGCCTGACACGCCCAACCGTCCGTAGCGAACTAGAGTGTACTAGTACTAAGTCATTATATTAAAGAAGAAAATGCAATCGAAAGTGACAAAAAGGATCAAGACTTACCCAGAGGGTGGCACTTGCTGATAAGCTCAGAAATAGGACGCTGATGAAGTGTTCCAGTGATGAGAAGAATAATATTGTCAATCATGTATGAATACCTGAAGCGTTTTGTGTTAATGTAAACTAACAGGAAGACAAATGGTGATAAGTCGCGGAGCGCGTTCCTACTTGCCATCCCGCGATCTAAGCGATGGCGAAGTGTGGACGCGCTCAGGAAGCTTCTGTTCGAAGGTATCTTGGCAACAAAGTAATGACAACGTACGTGATATAATCCAAAAATGTCGCGAGAGGCTCCAGAGCATTGTTCCTCAAGTGAGTGAACTCAGTAACCAGTTTCTCCTTTAGTCGCTCATCGATCACTTGCACCTGTTCATAAGGTAAATCATAGGGCCTGTTGTGAGGAGTGTCAATTCAGAGAAAAAAACCAACGGTGATCGATCCAGGTTCATTGGCAAGGAAGTTTCCATAATCAGTAGATTGTATGTGCAACTTCAGATCTGAAATTAAGAGGATACTGCAGGATAATCAAAAATCAAACAGGCCGCAAGTTTTACTGAGTCTTCTGCGAAACATCAATTTTTTTCTCTCAAAATTGGAGGAAGTGAAGTCGGTTTGAAAAATTTACCAAAATTTTCCGGTCAACCTATGGTAGAAATGTAAAGCCTCGTTCATACTTTGCGACCGAGAATTTTTGGCGATCCCGTGCCGATCGATACATATCCTCTCGCTTGACGCCCAATCAGCCGAAAAGCCGAGTCTCCCTAATCGCCGAATCTCCTCAGTGGCAAAGCACGAACGCAGCTTAGTGAGGACAGGAGCATAACTGTTAAAAATAAAATGCCAAAGAAAAAAAACTTTAAAATCGAGACATAACATACCTTCCAGAGTTTCACATTGGACAAGATTTGCGTAATCACTTTGTGAAAGCAGTCCTGTTTTGAATCCACGGATAAGGGCTTCCAAATACCCATGGTCAATATTGAACATGAACTCACC